GAGGTGATATCTTTTTAATTATAATTTTAAAATATATTTTATTGATTATGCCATTACAGTTATCCCATTTCCCCCATTCATTCCCCTCCACCCTGCACACTCCTTTCCCCCCACGTTCCCCCCTTTAGCTCATGTCTATGTGTCATAAGTTCTTTAGCTTCTACATTTCCCACACCACTCTGCCCTCCTCCTGTCTATTTTCTCCCCACCATCTATGCTACTTATTCTCTGTACCTTCTCCCCCTCTCTCCTCCTCCCACTCCCCTGTTGTACTCCCCCTCCATGTGATCTCCATTTCTGTGGCTCCACTCCTGATCTAGCTGTCTGCTTAGTTTGCTTTTGTTTTAGGTGTGGTTGTTAATAACTGTGAGTTTGCTCTCCTTTCACTGTTCATATTTTTTATCTTCTTTTTCTTAGATAAGTCCCTTTAACATTTCATATAATAAGGGCTTGGTGATGATGAACTCCTTGAACTTGACCTTATCTGAGAAGCACTTTATCTGCCCTTCCATTCTAAATGAAAGCTTTGCTGGATAGAGCAATCTTGGATGTAGGTCCTTGCATTTCATGACTTGGAATACCTCTTTTTTGACCCTCTGGCCTAGAAGGTCTCTTTTGAGAAACCAGCTGACAGTCTGATGGGAACTCCTGTGTAGGTGACTGTCCCCTTATCTCTTGCTGCTTCTAGGGTTCTGTCCTTCATTTTAATCTTGGGTAATGTAATTATGATGTGCCTTGGTGTGTTCCTCCTTGGGTCCACCTTCTTTGGGACTCTGAGCTTCCTGGACTTCCTGAAAGTCTATTTCCTTTGCCAGCTTGGGTAAGTTCTCCTTTATTATTTGTTCAAATAAGTTTCCCCCTTGTTGCTCTTCCTCTTCCCCTTCTGGTACCCCTATAATTCAGATGTTGGAACATTTAAAGATGTCTTGGAGGCTCCTAAGCCTCTCCTCATTTTTTTGAATTCTTGTTTCTTCATTCTTTTCTGTTTGGTTGTTTCTTTCTTCCTTCTGGTCCACTCCCTTGATTTGAGTCCCAGTTTTCTTTCCATCACTCTTGCTTCCCTGTGCATTTTCCTTCATTTCATTTACTGTAGCCTTCATTTTTTTCATCTAATTTGAGACCAAAATCAACAGTTCTGTGAGCATCCTGATTACCAATGCTTTGAACTGTGCATCTTATAGGTTGGCTATCTCTTGGTCGCTTAGAAGTATTGGCTCTGAGGCTTTGAGCTGTTCTTTTGTTTGAGCCATAATATTTTGGTCTGTTTGCACCTGTTATGCACGAGGGGCAGAGCCTTAGGTGTTCACCAGGGCAGGGCAACCCAGTGGCTGGGTTGTGATGCTGTATGTGGGGGTGGGGTCAGAGAGAGAACAATGGCACTTGTTCTGCTCTCTCAGATTTTGGTCCCCTCTGCTGCTTCCCACAAGCAAATTGGGCCCTTCTGATGCTGGTTCCCAGGTGGGTGGGCTTGTGTATGTTCTAGGACCCTGTGGGTCTCTCCAACGAATTCTCACCTGACGCTGGGAGTCTCTCCTGGCACTTTTTCAATTGGTGCTTTTAGGCTTTATTTCCCCATCACTGGGGCCCTGGGTTGCGCAGGGTTTTTTTTTCTCGCTTCTCCTGGGTTCTCGCTGCTCTTTTTTCCATATTATCTGTGCACAAATATGTGTCCAAAGTCAGACAGCGGCCTTGCGCGTCTCACTGGGTCTGCTTGTTTCCTCCCTGCGCCTGGGGTCTGCTAGCCCCACTGCTGCCTATGCTCTTCAGGTCTGGCAGCCACCGCCTTTTCCTGCCATCACCCCTCTCTGCTGGCCACTGACTTTTCCCCTCTTACTGGTCTGGGTGAATGGTTCATTGTTGGACTTCCATTCAGTTCAATTTTCTGTCTGTTTGGTTGTATTTTTATTTCTAAATTTTTGTTGTCCTTAAATTTGGTTGTACGAAGGGATACAGTATTTCCACCTATACCTCCATCTTGGTTGCTGAAGTGATATCTTTATTTCCTGTTCATTGTACCATTACTCACAATAGTTAACATATGGAAACAAACTAATTGTCTATCGACAGATGAATAGATTAAAAATGTAATATATATACAATGGGATGTTATTCAACCTTAAAAAGAAGGAAATTCTTTTTTTAAATACACTTTATTGATTATACTATTACAGTTGTCCCATTTCCCCCCTTTTATTCCCCTCCAACCTGCACATCCCCTCCCACCCACATTCCCCACCTCCCTTAGTTCAGTGTCCGTGGGTCGTACATATATCTTCTTTGGCTTCTCCATTTCCAATACTATTCTTAACCTCCCCCTGTCTATTCTGTACCTAACATTTATGCTTTTTATTCCCTGTACCTTTTCCCCAGTTCACCCCTCCCCCTCCCCACTGATAACCCTCCATGTGATCTTCATTTCTGTGATTCTGTTCCTGTTCTAGTTGTTTGCTTAGTTCATTTTTCTTTTTGTTTTTGTTTTTTAGGTTTGGTTCTTGATAGTTGTGAGTTTGTTGTCATTTTAGTGTTTATATTTTTTATCTTCTTCTATTTCTTATATAAGTCCCTTTAATATTTCATATAATAAAGGCTTGGTGATGATGAACTCCTTTAACTTGATTTTATCTGGAAAGCACTTTATCTGCCCTCCCATTCTAAATAATAGCTTTGCTGGATAGAGCAATCTTGGGTGTGAGTGCTTGCCTTTCATGACTTGGAATATTTCTTTCCATTCTCTTCTTGCATGCAAATTTTCTTCTGAGAAATCAGCTGATAGCTTTATGGAAACTCCTTTGTAGATAACTGTCTCCTTTTCTCTTGCTGCTCTTAAGATTCTCTCCTTATCTTTAATCTTGGGTAACGTAATTATGATGTGCCTTGGTGTTTTCCTCCTTGAGTCCAACTTCTTTGGGACTCTCTGGGCTTCCTGGACCTCTTAGAAGTTTATTTCCTTTGCCAGATTGGGGAAGTTCTCTATTATTTTTTCAAATACATTTTCAATTTCTTGCTCTATCTCTTCTCCTTCTGGCACCCCTATGATTCAGATGTTGAAATGTTTAAAGTTGTCCTAGAGGTTCCTAAGCCTTTCCTCATTTTTTTTTGAATTCTTGTTTCTTCATTCTGTTCTGGTTCAATGTTTATTTCTTCCTTCTCGTCCAAACCATTGATTTGAGTATGGGTTTCCTTCCCTTAACTGTTGGTTCCCTATATGTTTTCCTTTATTTCACTCTTCATAGCCTTCAGTTTTTCCTCTATTTTGCAACCATACTCAACCAATTCTGTGAGCATCCTAATTACCAGTGTTTTTGAACTCTGCATCTGATAGGTTGGCTATCTCTTCATCACTTATTTGTATTTTTTCTGGAGCTTTAATCTGTTCTTTCATTTGGGTCATTTTTTTTTTTTTTTTTGGTCTCAGCACCTGTTATGTATAAGGGACAGAGCCTGAGGTCTTCACCAGGGTAGGGCAACCCACTTCACTGTGCTGTGGTACTGTATGTCATAGAGGGGTCCAAGAGAAAACAATACCACTTGCTTGGCTGGCTTTCAGTCACTTTCTCTGCTACCTATAAGCAAATTGGGCCCTTCTGGTGCTGATTCCCAGGTGGGTGGGTTTGTGTACATTCTAGGACCCTGTGGGTCTCTCCAATGTAACTCTCCTGTGAGACTGGGAGTTTCTCATGTTGCCTCAACCTCCAGAGGATTTTTCAGTCAGAGGTTTTGAGGCTTTATTTCCCTACACTGGAACCCTGGGTTGTGCAGTCTGTCTCACGCCCCACTTGCTCTTCCCAGTTTATCCACATGCAGATGTGGGGTCATCCACTGTGCCAGCTGCCTCACTCAGTTCACCAGCTGCCACCTTGCTGCGAGTCCTCTCTGCCCCAGATGCCCATCTTGGCCCCTCCTACTGGTCTGGATGAATGTTTCTTCTTTAACTCCTTGTTGTCAGACTTCCATACAGTTCAATTTTCTGCCAGTTCTGGTTGTTTTTTGTTTTCAAATTTGTTGTTTTTCTTTTTTTGGTTGTGTGAGGAGGCACAGTATATCTACCTAAGCCCCCATCTTGGCCAAAAGTAAAAAAGAAAAGAAGGAAATTCTGTCATTTGCAATAACATGGATAAAACTGGAAAGCATTATGCTACGTAAAATAAGCCAGATAGAAAAATACAAACACTGTATGGTATCGCTTATATGAGGAATTTTTTTTTTTAGGTCAAACACATAGATACAGTAGAATGGTGGTTGCCAGGGGCTGTAAGGTGGGGAAAATGAGGAAATGTTGGACAAAGCATACAAATTCTCAGTATGCTTTGACTTCTGAGGATTGAATGTACACCACGGTGACTATAGTTAATAATACTAAAAATTTGCTAAAAAGGTAGATCATAAGCATTCTCACTACACACACATGCACACGCACACAAAAGAAAAAGGTAACTCTGTGAAGTAATGGGGAAGTTAATTATCTTGATTGTGGTAATTATTTCACAATGTACACATGTATCAAATTACCATGTACACTTAAATGATATATATACAATTTTAGTAATCAATTATACCTCAATAAAGCTGGAGGAAAAACAGAAGAAATCTTCATGGCCTTGAATTTGGCAATGATTTCTTAAATATGACACCTAAACCACAGGCAACAAAAGAAAAAACAGATAAACTAGACTTCAAAATGTTTAAATTTTGAGTATCAACAGACCCTATCTAAAAAGTGAGTAAACAAAACATAGAATGAGAGGAAGTGCAGAGAAAAGGAAATCTCAGTGTCCCTGCACTAAAATATGGATTGCTGCCTGTCAACCATCCAGAACACAGACTTAATGATGTTTCAGAATGGCAAAATCAGAGAATACGAACAGCTGCTTGCTTGTGCATTCAGTGTCAAAGACCTATGAACTCAGGACTGGATAGTTCTGCCAAATCCAAACGGAAAAGGACGATCCCTATCTTTTGATAGGGGGAGTGAAAATATCCGCCTGCATAAATAAGCAGCTGTCCAGTCCCAGCCCACACACTCCAGGACCCCCAATTTGCCGCTATTCACCTTACCCATAGCTCTGGCCTCATACTCACCCTCTATAATAGCCATGGCTCAGTCACTGGCTCTAAGCATTTTTGTCCTGATCCTGGCCTTCTGCATCCCCTGGACCCAAGGTATCAAGGAGGAACTTGCCTTAGGATGGGGGAAAGGCACTGGAGAGGTCTGTTTGAGAGCCTATAAGTAGCCCCTGACTCCCTGTGAACCCTACCCTGCAGGCAGTGGTGGAGGGGCACAGGACTGTTGCCTCAAGTACAGCGTAAGGAAGATTCCCACTCAGCTCGTCCGCAGCTACCGGAAGCAGGAGCCAAGCTTGGACTGCCCCATCCCAGCTATTCTGTGAGTGAGTGCAAGGGGGTGGGTGCAGCTCAGTGGATTGGGCATGCTGGGCAAGACTGGGACAGGCTTGTTAATGCCCATTCCCAGGTTCTCACCTCGGAAGCGCTCTCAGCCAGACCTATGTGCAGACCCTAAGGAGGTCTGGGTGCAGCAGCTGATGCAGCATCTGGACAGATCACCAGCCCCACAGAAATCAGTCCAGCGCTGTAAGAAGGACAAGTCTGGAAAGAAGAGAAAGGGCTCCAAAGGCTGTAAGAGGTGAGAAAACTGAAGGGATGGGGGAGGGAAGTAAAGAAGAGCCTCTATAAGTCCTTCAAACCCCTCTTCTCCCCTCCCAGGACTGAACAGACGCAGACCCCCAAAAAGCCATAGCCCTGTGACCAGCCTGGAGCCCAGGAGGCCCTCATCAGCCTCACCAGGGTTTGGAGCCCCAATCCAAGGGGAAAAAAGCAGTCTAGGAGAGAGAGAGAGGACTCAGGGGCCCCAGAGCAGTCCCTCTACCCCCATACTGGCCTTGCCTCACCACTTCTCTTGCTTCAGCTTTCTGTATTTGCAGCCCCACCCGCATAACTGATTTGCCCACACCAGGCCAGACCTAGAGAGGCAGAGGAGGGAGTATGAGAGGAGGCAGCAGGACTGTGCCCTCTCAGGAAAGTCACCAAGGACCCTGGACCTGACCCTGTTCCCTGCAGCACCCCACCTCTTCCTTACAAATATGATTTATACATAACTGAATAAAAAGCTGTTCTGGCCTCCTACCCAAGTATCTGTTCTTGTGTGTTTGTGTCCATGGGAAAGCTGGTACCACTAAGGGGTAGGGTCAAGAGCTCAAGCTGGCAAATTCTATGTTCTAACCTACCCCAAGAATTTCCTCCCCTCTCAAGTGCCCAGACCTATGGACAGTAGAAGGGAAGTTGACAGGTAGGGTAGAAACTTGGCTGCTCCTGGTCTCTGAGAAGTTTCTGCCAATAGAGAGATGGTGGACCCAGGGCACACACACCACCCTTACAATGGCTCTGCAGGCCTCTGAGACCCTGCAGAGATCCATTCCCTAGCTATGTGCAGCATTCTCTCACTCCCAGCAGTACCAGAGACTGCCCCCCACCCCTTTCGTTGGGGCCTACTGAATGCAAACCTCCAAGTACCTTTTGGGGAAGGTCCCCAGGAAGGAGGCTGGAGCCTGGGCCTACCTGTAACAGGAAAACACAAGCCTACTGAAACCTACCCTATGCAGAGGTCCAGCCCTGAGAGCCCTTCAGAGCCTACACTCCCTCCCCAAACACCCCAAAACCCAAGAGGACTTCCTTCTGTCCCAATCAATAAAGTGGGATTCCTGTCCTCTCCACTTTGTTTATTGCAGCTGTGTGCTCTCCATTCGTATCTGGGCTTCCTGACTGCCTCAGCTTCCGGTCGGGAAGGTATCTTCCCCTTCCGTTCTTTTCTCCTCTTTCCCCTGGCTGGGGCCCAGGGCACTTAAATCTCCTGACATCAAAGACCAAGTCTCCTGTTGATACAGGGTGCAGCCAGGGGGCGCCCCCAAAAAAAAGATTTGGAATGGTGTCCAGAATTCAAAGTATATAGGAATATTGGAGAGACATATAAGATGTCCTCACACCTCCCCCCAGGGGGAAGAAACGAATGGAGCCAGGCCATTGAGAACTGTTTTGCATAGCAATAGTTTTGCAGCTAACCTCTGGAATGATTATTTAACATATCTATAACCTTTAACTGGTTTCATAGATATGTTAAATAGCAGTGGCCAAGTTTGGAGCGGGGGAGAAGGGAGTACTGGGACTCAAGATGGAACTAGCGGGCTGCGCTCCTGAGTAAGAAGGGCCTGTGTGGGAGCTTGGAAAAGATGGGCTCCAGGACATGAGGCAAGAACTGCCTAGATGAAAGGGAAAACCATGCAGCTTTGCCAGAATGGAGATCCCTGCAGCCAGGTGAAGAAGAAAGCCACATGCTTTTAGTGGAGTGCGGACTCCTGCAGCTTTGGTAGAAGAGGCCCATGCGGCTTTGGGGTGCCCCCTTTGGCCTCGGGGCCTGAAAAGCAAGAGTGACTTTGACTGGAACTAGGTACAAAGAACTCTTGCCAGTAGACCATGAGAGGGTACCACAGTACTTTGGATTAACCAGAGAGAGATCCTGCCTGCAAGGTGACACAGCTGACAGTGCCAGCGGCCTGCAACACAGACATGTGCTCTTTTCCTGATTTACGGTACCCGGAGTTGGGACAGTGGGAGAAGGGAGCGCTGTGTGGGTGTAGGTGTATACCCTAAAGGACTTTGCTATTTTAGTGGAGGCATTAGGCCTGAATAGCATTAAATAAACATTTTGTTTCCTTTTCACAAATCTCTGGCATTGAGAGATGTCTTTCCAATTGGCGGCGGACAGAAGAGCCCAGTAGATATTAGTATTTTGGTTTTTTGGGAGGGGCCCCTGTTGTATAGCAGTTTTGGGCATCCCTAGGTGGGCCAAATATTGTATTGCCCCTCCCTCGGACCTCTTGTTGTTCTGTAACACTGTGGCAGGTATTTGGAAGCCCAGAACTCAGTAAATCAGGCTCCTCTCCTCTCCAAGAAGATGTGTGCCTGGCTCTCTTCCTCCTTTCCTGCCCAGAGGAGAGATTCTCCTATACCCACTTCACCGTTAGGTAGGGAGAGGGAGAACCATCAGATAGGGCCAGGCCCTGTGGGAAAGAAGGAAACAGACCCTGAGATGGCGGCCAGAGGCTGGAGGTGGCTGCCCCACCACCTTTTCCTTCCCCAGGAGACTGAGCATGCCACAGCACTCACCACTTATGAAGTCTTTAAAGTGTTTGTTGTCTGCTCCTCCTGAGGCTGGTGAAGACAGGGGTTCCTCCACACCTATCCTCATGCAGCAGGTGTGATCTTAGTCTACAAACAGATGGGCAAAAATTTAAAAATGTTCTTTCAATGAACTTGATTCCTACTCCAGACCCCTGCACCAGAGTGCTGACGAGAAATTCAACATCAGACACTGCTGGGATCCCATCTGCCAAGGGCTATGCAAATGTCATAGAAACACCAAGGCAAAAGGGAGCCTTCTCACATGCCCCCTACCCATCCTATCACTGAACATCAATCTCACCAGTAAATGCCATGGCCCCTGTGATTGCAGCTGGTAAGACTCTCCAGGTTCTGGACTCTCAAACACTTAGCTCCTTTTTCTTTCTGAGGCATGAAAATTCAGTTATGAAAACCCCTGGACTCAGAACTGGTTTCCCCAGATACACCCCAGAGCCGTCTACTCAGGCCCCGCAACTTGTTTCATCACAGCCAAGGACTAGAGCCCATTGCCCATGGTGACTGGACCTACATACCAATTCCCTCCACTGTCTTAAAAATCTCTCTCCAAAACCCTCCTTGTCCCCAGCCCCCTCAGGGCCTGACCTCTTTCCAGATTTGCTTTCACCTTTTAAGGCAGAAAGGCTGCTGACATCGGGATGCCTCTGCTGTCAGCCCTGTCAAAACCCCTGCTTGTTCTAAATCGGGGCTGTTCAATCTTTTGGCATCTCTGGGCCACACTGGAAGAAGAGTTGTCTTGGCCCACACATTGACACTAACCAACACACGCTAACAAAAACAAACACTAACGAAAACAAAAATATCTCATAACGTTTTAAGTTAATTTATGATTTTGTGTTGGGCTGCATTCATGGCCACCCTGGGCCACATGCGACCTGTAGGCTGCGGGTTGCACACCCCTGCTCTAAATAGAAAAGAAAAAGATAAGCAGAACAAACAAAACTTGTATTTCAGTAAATTATCCTGCTACACTTGCATGTCTGGTATTTGCCTCAAGCCCTGGCCTGCCTGGGTAAGCATGCAGTGTTTTTACTCCATCAGAGAATAAATAGTCCCTCTCCTTGTCTGCCTTCATCTTTGACAATGTTGTCCTGTTCTTTCTTTCTTCTTTCTGTAAGATGTGTGATTTTTAAAAAATCAAATAATACATACTCATAGTTTAAAAATACCAAAAGGCTTATTTTGCCCTGGCTGGTGTGGCTCAGTGGATTGAGCGCCAGCCTGCAAACCAAAGGGTCACAGGTGTGATTCCCAGTCAGGGCGCATGCCTGGGTTGCAGGCCAGATAAGGTCCCCCAGTAGGGGGTGCACAAGAGACAACCACACATTGATGTTTCTTTTTCTCCCTCCCTTCCCCTCTGTCTAAAATAAACAAATGAAACTTCTTTTTTCAAGTCTTATTCTGAATAGTATCCATTTACTGCAACTTTTAACACTTAAGCTACTTCTTCAAGGAGTTAGTGCCGTTTCTAAGTGTTTTGTTCATACTTCTGTTTCTCTTTTTTTAATATTTTAATTTGTTGATTTTAGAGAGAGAGAGAGAGAGAAACATTGATTTGTTGTTCCATTTTTTTATGGATCCATTGGTTGATCCTTGTAAGTGCCCTAATCAGAGAACCCACAACCTTGGCCTATGTGGAAACACTCTAGACAACTGAGCTACTAGACAGGGCTCATACCTCTGTTTCTTGATTTGTCTACTTTAAATATTACCAACCGATTGCATAGCATTAAAAAAAAATGGAGACTTAGCTCTTTTACCAACTCTCCTCTCCTGTCAGTCTGTCCTCTAAATATAGTTATACAACTATATTTGGATCATGATCAGAACTTACATTATTATGACCATGCAAATGTTGTTCACTGCAAAACAAAGTTGTGTACTACACTTACTTTCCTTTGTCACTCAGCTTTTTGTTTTTCTGAAAAGTTGTAACTGTTCTTCCCCTTTTAAAAAAATAAAAACTCGCCCTGGCTGGTGTAGCTCAGTGGATTGAGCTCGGACCTGGGAACCAAGCAACCACAGTTCGATTCCCAGTCAGGGCACATGCCTGCGTTGCAGGCTAGTTCCCAGCAGGGGACACATGGGAGGCAACCATACATTGATATTTCTCTCCCTCTCTCCTTCCCTTCCCCTCTAAAGATAAATAAAATATTTAAAAAATAAAAATAAAAAAATAATAAAAACTCTATTTACCATTATCAAAGCCTCAAAAATTTTCAAAGGTTTTATTATATTAGGATTAAAGACTTAATGTTTAAAATACATGCAATAAAAGAAAATACAGGTGTGTGTATATAGCCTTTGAGGTAGAAAAGAACTTCTGAAACAAGACATAAAACCATAAAACATAAATCATAAGGGAAAAGATTAACACCATTAAATTCAAAGACAAGTAGGAGTTCAGGGTAAATATGGCAAATTAAACACATACATTTATATTCGCTCCCCCCTGAGCTCCAGTTAAAACTACAGTAGTTGTTCTGATGTGTGTTCGTGTGTATAGACATAAAACCCACAAGGACCTAAATGCGAAACGAGATAAAGCTAATTTTTCAGAATATTGCTGCTTAGACAAGTAAATATTTAAGAAAAAATAGGTGTAAAGGAAAGCACAAAATAAAATTACAAATTTGGAAGACTTCCAATGTCTTGCTCATCCATACAGTAAAAAACATTTTACTATATACCAAGATAGGAGTGTTCAACAAGGAACACAATTATGGCTTCTGCTAGAAATATAAAGACAAAAAAAAGAAAAAATTCTAAGGATTAACCATCCACAAATTTACAAAATCTTCATCCCCCAAACATAAAAATGCATTGTAATCCCTGAATCCTGAGTTTTCCTTTAACACTGAAGCATTTCATTGCTTTAAAACTAAGTCATCACTATCTTCTAAAAATAAGTTACCCTGAGGGCCATCTACAGCCCTTTAGTCTTTTAGTCTTGAAATGATTTTACCAGTATCTCTTCCATGAAATAACACATATACACTTATGAAAGGGAGGGCCAGCTCCTTCTTATCAGTATGCCCCAGAATCTGAAGACTCCTGCTTCTCCTGGCTCACTCCTTCCTCTCAAATTCTTTCAAGTTTAAAGGCCTCTTTGAGATAAATGTAAAGAATGAGTCAGGCTATGATCTCCCAGAATTACAGATCATAGAAACATCTTAACCTGAGTCCTATGAACCTGAAACTAATTCTAAAGTAAGCAACCAGATGTCTTAACATTTTGGCCACCCTACCTCACCCCTATGATATTTGTGCCACACTTTGGCTAGCCACTATTTCATTCTTTACTCATCAGTTCAGCCCTTTAGAGGGACATGATCACCAAGGATAGTTAGGTATTTTCCTTTAAAAAAGTAAAAATGGGTACAGTACAGGACTTCCAGAACACCACCACCGACACACTCGGCATCTTCTACCTTGTTTTATGACACAGGAAGGTCAGAGGGATATAGTCTATACTTGTTATTTATGAAAGTGAGGCAGGAGATAGGAAGGAAACTCCGGAGATGCCCCAGGGCTATGATAAAGGATGTCCACACAGGACAAAGACCCTTTCTGGAAGGCGTCTGGAAGGGCGTTCCCACTTTCTAGAAAGGCACTTAATCATGGTGACTCATGATTGCTTCTGCACAGAAGATTCCACATGACCCCTGCTTCATTATAATAGCATTATAATAAATCAACATTGTGTGACCCCATTCTCAGATGGCCAATCAAGAAAAATCATGGGAGACCACATGCACAATAGCTTTAAGGTAATGCAACTACTTGTACATGCACGATAAAAGCCCGCCAAAACTAGTCAGAAAATATCCGCCCTATAAGAATAGAATTCCTCCAGCTCCGGAGGTCAATCTCTCTGCCTAGAGTGGGCCTGCTCCCATGTTCTGTGGAGTGTACTATCGCTTAATAAATCTGCTCTCGCTTTCTGCTATAAACTCTGTGTGTTCAGTTCAATTCTTTGTCCATGATCACCAAGAATCTGGTTACTTGTGCCCACTTTGACAAAAGCTCACATTAATTTGTTTCCTAGCCTTAATCATGTGCCTATGAAATATGTCTTCAGCTTCAGCTGACCTCTTTTGTGAAGTTCTTTTTCTTTTCCAAACATCCAGGTTTTGTTTCTTCTTGTATTTTGGGACAAAGGGATGCTGTTTTGTTAAAAATTATCAGTGCTTCTGTCCTTTAGCCTCAGTCTTGACCAACGAATTACCATTTTTGTGGATGCTGAAATTGCCCGCTTTCTTCTTCTGACACCTGTATTTACAATTCTTCTAGTACAGTCTGCCCTAGAATTCCCCTACACAGACTATGTCGTCTATGTCAAAAACCTGAAAGCTTCATTTTGAAGACACTCACTTCTCAGATGGTGGCAAACCAAAACACCTATGGGAAACCCTGCTGCCATGTTCTTGAAGGCTTTTTCTTTAGAGCCATGGATTGTGCTAATAATAAATTTTAATCCAATATTAAGAGAATAACCGAACTCCTTTCCTGATCACCTGACCAGCCAGTGCCAAGTTAGGTTCAGAATACACGCACCCCCACTCCACACGATGTGACAAGCTCCACTTGCCTGAAATCCTCATTACCCTGCTCCACCACCAGGAGGCAGCATTGTCGCTGCAGTCTTCTGTGGACTAAGCAAACAGCATGTTTGTGGGTTGAATTTTCTGTTAAGTCCTTCATCTTTCTGATATCAGTTTTTTGTTTATGGTTGTCTCCATTTTATTTCTTTATACTTTTGTAGGATTTTATTTTTATGTTTTCCTTTCAAATGTGTCCCATGCTAGACCACAGGTCTAGCATTTTCCTGTGTCCACTGATGAGCAGGACAAACTCTTTTTCGGCCTCTGGCCACTTTGTCCTCCTGTGCTGAGAGTCACCCAAGCACAGTCAGGCTCTCAATAAACCTCGGTTGAATAAAGAAAGCTTTTCTTAGAGTTAACACTGTACTTAAGTGCTTTTGGGCAACAGTTGGGTGTGGGTTATTTATGCTGCAAAGGAAGTGCTGGAGGCGATGTGAACTTCCTTTAGTCTTTAAAGCAAACATTAATGCATGTCTCCAATGTTAGGCACCTTGGACTCGGGGTAACCTGGTAATACTGAGGATGGGGAGGTAAATATTCACGCCACCCCACGAAGCTCTGCTTACTGCTTACCCAGCTCAGAGGACTAAGTGGCAGGGATTTGGCTGCAGGGCAGCTGAACTAAGCCTGAGGAAACAGCCTCCAGGGGATGCGGTCTCAGGCACAGGTAGAGTCTTCACTCCCCACGTGGGGCTGAACCCTCGGCCTTGGTACCCGAAGAGGGGAGACCAGGGACTTTGGGCCAGTGTGCTTCCCAGCCTCTGTGAGTAGTCTGCAGGTTCAGGGACACACCTAGTTCCTACTGGAGCAGGTCCACACCCTGTCCACAGAGCGTCC